AGGGTCCTCCTGGCTGACGGGCGGAGGGAGTTTGTGTGTAGGGAGGGAGGGAGGGAGGATGTGTATGTGACTTTGTGTGCATGTGTGTGGAGAGGCCGGAGAAAGTCGGCGCTCCTCGGACGCCCGAGGGAGTCAGCTGTTCCCGCTATCTTCCCCTTCCACGCGTCCTGTTGACTTAGTTGGCGGAGCCTCAGCTGAGGTTTCGCTTCCCTGGCCGCCCCTTCTCTTCTTCCCTTTCTTCCCCCTCCCTTCACATGACCGGCAGCTGGGTCCCTCGCTAAGAGGGCGGCGGGGGAGGGGAGGATAAGAGGAGGAGCCGGGTGGGACGGACGGAGCCGAGGAATAAGTGACGCCGGCGGAGCAGAAGGCGCACGCAGGCAGGGCAGAGGGACCGTATAAGACGCTGGGAAGCGGCGCGTTGGTTTTTTTACTACTCCGTTCTCCTTATCCTCTCGGTGCGGGCTTCTTCTTTAATTTTTTTTCCTTGACTGAAGAGGAAGGTAAGCCAAAGGACAAGAAGGGGGGGGAGGGTTGAGTGGCAGTCTTAGAAAAGAAAAAGCGGGCGAGAAAGGAGAGAGTGGGGGGAAATGCAGTGAGGGGGTCGCTAGTTGCCTTGGACAACTTTTGGGGGGGCTTTTCCCCTCCACTTTGCCCCAGTCCTCCCCCTCCTTTCTCCGGCCACCCTCCCTCCCCCCCGTCACGAGGCTCCGGGTTGTGAAATCTGGTGCTGCTTAGCAAGAGACGGCAGGGCGGAGCGGGTGGGGACCCGACGCCTTTAGGAGCGGACGTAGCTTCAGGTCGGGGAGGCGGCAGCGCGCGCTGCCACGCTGCTCCAGGAGCCTCTTTTCCCCTCCTCTTTCCCTTTCCTCCCCGTCTCGCCCCCTGACCCCCCAATACACACAAGCAATATACACGCAAACATTTCCTGGGGGCGGTGGGTATCTGTGTGTGGGAGGGGGGGAAGGACCGGCCTTTGGGCAGGGAGTGGGCGATCGCGGGGTTTAGCGCAGGGCCTTACGTCAAGGGAGCAAGATGGGGCGGGAGAGACGGGAAGTTTGGGTGTTGTCCCGGATTGGGAACTTCTTGGCCGTGAGCGCGCGTCCTGTTTTTAGCCCGCTCACTCTTTCCCTTCGGTACTTTCGAGTTACTACAGTAGTAATAAGAGAAGGATTTTGGCCAGGGTTTCCTCCCCCCCTCTTCCTTCAACAGAACTGACCACGATTCCTGGAATTGCAGGTCTCTTATTTCTACCTCCTCGGGAAAGTTTCCCGTTTCCTTTTTTTTTTTTTTTGCTTAAACAACGTCCATTTTATTAATAAACACTGTTTTCTTCTCGTTCCTGTAGTGATTTTTTTTCTCCTTCCCCTCGTTCTTTTCCCTACAGAAACAAAAAAAAAGCAAGATGGGCGTGGAAGGTGGGATGAAATGTGTTAAATACCTGATGTTTTTCTTCAACTTTATATTCTGGGTAAGTTAAGTGGGGGTGATTCTTAAAGGTAAAGATTATTTATTATGGATTACTTATTTGGCCCCTTCCCCAGCCAAGCTTTCTGGGGTATGTTTAGTTGGAATATGTTTGGTTTCTGTTAGTACTATTATCCCTGGAGAAGCTTTATATATAGCCATGTGGTGGTAGTTTAAGCTTCCATCTGCTACTACATGTTCCTGAAGGCCTGGCCAGACATTTGTCTTTTAACAGGTTTTAAAAACATTAGTAGTAGAACTCCAGATTTATAGTTTCAACCTGCTGACCTGGTCAGTGTTTGGGTTTGTACTATATTTCTATAGTAGTCAACATTTGAGGTATTTCTCCTTGTATATCTGAAAGCTATTAAATCAATAATTTTCCTGGTAACTCAGACAGCTAGGTTTGGAAGAAATCCTAATACTAATTAGTAATGCCTTTCCAAGAACAGTATCATTTTCAATACAAAAGCGCCATATGTAAAATCCTGGATTGAAAACAAAAATATAAGTGAATTAGAGTATAATTCCATGACACCAAACAATTTGCAAATAGCAAAACACATTAATTTACCAGTGCACATTTAAACTTCACTTTAAAGGTACTTCTTAAATAGTTGAAATCTTGTAAGATCACCAAATCCCACCAGATATTGGTGTTCCTGATTGAATTGTTGTGAGATTTTGGAGAAGAGCATCAAAATCTCATGAGATTTCAACTGTATTTCTATAAATTAATTTTGAAGTCACTGGGATAATACCTGAAAAAGGGTTGGCTGTGCCTTGGTGCCCATAGGATTTTGCATTGCTCACCTAGACTTCTGCGGTAATCCTACAGAGATCTCAGTGAAAAGGTTGGAAACCACTGTTGTAAGAAAATGGTTGGCTTCGTACAGTATTACTATGTCATGGCTTGTTCAATCATCACATTGAGTAAGCCACAGTTCACTCAACCTCTGTAAAACGGTCTTAACAAACAATTGGGTTTACATGGCCTGCTAAGCCAAACCAAACAAACCACATTATTGCTATTATTACAATGGGAAAATATAATTAATATGCTAGAAGGAAGATGTGCTTCTCTGCCTCGCCATATAGGAGTGGTTTCAGATGCTAAACTACTGACTTGGTATAAAACTGGCCAATGCACAAATAGCTCTCCATAAAAAACATGAAGAACTGCTGAAGTAGAAAGTTCAGCCTCACAAATAGCTGAACGGTTTGAGACTTCAGTATCAGTTTGGCCAATGAAATTGCTAGACACCAAGTTCCAGAACCTGGTGGTTTCCTGTTAGACTAGAAGCTGCATATTATCCCTTCGATGACTGATGTGGCAGAAATTGTTGCTTTTACCATAGCAGCCATTGTGGTATTCTCAGTATGGTAACAAAGCCAGTGGTTGCTGCCGATCTGCTTGCAGCGCAGGCCCAGTTCCTGGTGTTGGCAAACAAAGTTCTGTGGAATGTTAGTGAGACTTTCAAAGCCCTTTTATTGATCTGGATTACATATCCTAATTCTGTAGAAATAGCATGACTTGCTACATTGCCCAACCACGGAAATAAACTTCACTTTCTACATCCCTTTTCAACGCCTAATGTGACAAATTCTGGGTGGTACAAACCAGACAGTTTTAAAAGCTGACTATTCATTTTGTTGCAAGTGTAAAATGGGACATTGGTTCACATGAAATGGACATGCCCTATTACTCCCCTGTGGTTGTGTCTTTATTGTCTCCTTAATTCAAACATATCCAGGATTTTCTGAGGGTCCCGGTGACTATCATGCGAGTCCCTCAAAAAGGACCAATATTTTTAAAGGAACTGCTGAGAGGTACATGAGTGTGCCCAAACAAGATCTGAAGTAGCTTTTCTATTTGGATCTAAATACCCCAGTTCCCATTTGTTTGTTATTATGTTTTTAATTTTTTTAAATATTTTGTATATGTACTTTTTCTTTATATGAAGAAAATTCTGCAAAAAATACAGTTTTTTTTAAAAAAATTCAGTACCCTTTAATACCTAGCTATAGCTAGAGTTGATGGAGTAATAACAAATTGTTGGTGAACTGTCACAGTAGTACAAAAAAAAGCATGTACAAAGATAAAGTTTGGTGTGGGTTTTGTTTATGAGGGGCAGGTGATAACAAAGGATGTTATTTAACTGGAAAACCTGGGATCAGTTGATGTTTTGTAATTAGAAAAGGATATTGGTTTTTCCCAGCAGCACTTGGTAGTGTTTTATGTCGATACAATTGGATTAAATTTGTTCAATTGCAAGAATATATAATATATAAGAAAGGTATTCAATGTTTTTTCCAGCTGCCCAATATCCTTGTAGAACTTGGTATTTCCTTTTGGAGAAACAGGAGTTTTTTATTGGACCAAATAGATGATAGGAACTTGATAGGAACTATTGACCTTTCTTAGTACTGTATAATGTTTGTTTTGCCAACCGCAAGAAGGGTGAATTAGCCATATGTTTGTTCTCTTTCTCTCTCTTAATGCAATCAATATGATAAATATAACTGCGTGAAGAGCACTCTTGTGGAATGGAACAGAACAGGGAGTTAAATGTGAAATCTTGCTTTTAAAAAAGCCTATCCCTAATTCTGCACTCTGAAATAATTTGTGGTATTATTATGTCCCATGTATATCAGCATCTACATTTCAATAATGAGAAGTGTCTTGATAATTGATTTTGTGTACATGTTTTTAATTCTACCTGAACAGTGATGTGCACGTATATTTTGGTGGCAAAATGGCATTCGTTCTTGGATTCAAATACCTATTTGCCTGCTTTTGAAGAATTGCATTAACACATTTTTTATCATGGACAATTATCAAGATACTAAATAATGTGGGAGAACCCTTTTTGCACACTCCTGCCCAAATATGTGTTAGGTTTCCACTGTTTAAATTTGTTTGGAGGAGGAGTTGATAGTTGTTGGGATTTTACTTTCCAGTGATTTAAAAAAACTGTTTTGTGTAGGAACCTTTGTGTAGGCTTTGAAATTTAGATACTAGTTTATTTCCTGTTAGGCCCCATTTACATAAAGGGAACTGTATGAACTGGAAATTCATTTGTGAGCATAACATTTGCTGGTTTCGCACTTAAGGAAAAAATAAATTATGACTATGCCTCTCTCTGGTTCTGTTTGGACCAAAGTGACAAGAATTGGCATCTATCTCAGAACAGATTTAGCTGTATATAAAAATTATCTGGGGTGGTTTAGTAATCAAATCGTGGAAGTGTTAAGCTGTCCTTTTTCTATTTTGGCAAAGCATCATAATTGTTTTTTTTTCCTCTAGAATAGTAAGCCAACTTTTATTTGGCAGAACAGTGGAATTGGTGGGATTATTTGTCCTAATGTACACAATAGCCAGATGTTGCCTGGCTATAATGCAAAAACAAAGATAGCAGTTAGTAGGGACTGTTATTTGGGAAATGATTTCTGTTTAGTCTGTTTAAAGATAGTCTGTTTATGACTGTCCAGACAGTATCGTCCTTTCATAATTGAATAACCTGAATATAAAGGGAAAAGCAAAGGTAGAAACAGTAACTGCTGTGCCACTTGTGTTGAACTATTTGAACTGGCTATCAGTGTATTCTTCATAGGACTATGAAAAACAATTACTAGCAGGTAGTAAAAGAATAGGATTGATGGCTATCTGAAAGAAGCGTGGTAGTATAAGGCAGGGGTCTCCATACCTGGCAAGTTCATTCTGGAAATTCAAGTTCCAGAATTTCCCCACCAGCCAATCCACACATCTTAAAGTTGCCACGTTTGAAGACCCCTAGTATAAGGGAAAACCTAAGAGGTGTATAAAGTCAGTTTAGACAAATATTCATAAGAATGTTCCTAGGTATATTCTGAATGAAAAATTCATGAGAAAATTGATAGGGAAGAAGGAGGACTACCATGTGGATGTGCTAGTTTAATCAGGAAATCCATATCATTGTCATGAGGAGTCTCATTTTATTTTAGAAACAAATTGAAGATTCTGTGAGGGGGGACAAAAAAGGTTTAAAACCTTTTCTTAACTCTTATTATGGAAATATTAATGCTGAAATATCCTGTTGATCAAAGCAGTATCCTTAACAGAGAAGTTAATACTGTTCTATTTATTCAGTGACAAGGAGCAGTAGAGATGTTCTTTTCTATTTAGGATTTATATTTCCATCTAAAATAGTTATTCTGCATCCACAGTTTGTAGTATAAATCCATTCCCTCCTTTGTTCTACCACCCATTCCATCAATACTTCAAAAATATAAGGAAATCAATGTATCCTTATTCCTGATGCTGGAAAGCAAACATAATTTTGCACCTGACCCTTAAGGGATTGCTTTATAATCTCAAGTATTGAAAGCACTTCTGCAAAGCAAATTAATTATGGCTCCGTTTCATTGTGTTCCAATACTGGGTCTCTGCTTGTTCTTTGGAGGAGTCCTCTATACATGTGTGTACGTGTAAAGCATGCATCCTCAATATGTTGAGACTGGTGAATCATAAAAAGTGTGGGTCAATCTACTGTAAATGACAGCCGTAAATCAAAAGTATAATATGCACTCCGTGAGCATTCTTTTTGTGTCCTATCCACATCAGACCTGGGGAGTTCCATGTTCCCTTGATTTGGGCCAAAAATAATTTCTGCTGCTGGCTGCCTATGTTTATAGTGAAGGCATCAGGCTAGAAACCAGGAGCTGGTGAGTTCTAGTCCTGCCTTAGCCACAAAAGCCAACTGGGTGATTTTGGGTCAGTCTTTTTCAGCCCAACTCATCTCGCATAATGTTTGTGAAGAAAATAGGAAGACGGTGTGCTGGATATTTGCCTCCATGAGTTATTGGTTAAAAAAAAATTAAAAGGCAGGATACAAATAAAATATTATTGTATAGTAGAAATAATTCTCTGTGGATTTGCCTTTCACGGTTGACCTATTGTGGAAAAAAGCTGTGTGTGCTATCAGGATACGGGCTCTTTGCTTTTGGGTGGGTCCATCCTGCTGT